GAATTTTCTTACCTTTAATAGAGAAAGTGCATACTTGAGTCTTTTCAGGTCACTAGAGGTCCAAGTTTTTATTCAAAGAAGTTTATAAATAAGTAAGGGAGAATAGAAGAGATATGTGAAGACAAAATTCAAGTTGTTTTAATAAAAGTATAAAGACTTTATTAGCAAGGAAATATAAAACTTCATATGAATATTTTTTTTGTTTGAAATCAAAAAATCAGTAGAAAGAGTTTTTATTTTATAAAAAAAAAATTAGTTATTTTATATAAAATTTTATAAATATTTTAATTGAAATTATTTTATAAAAAAACTTTTTTTATTTAAATACAATATATAAAAAATTATAAATTTTGATTTTTTCTTAAGCTTTTTTTATAAAACAATATAATAAAATTTTTAATAAATGTAATTGTTTGTAAACTATCAAAAAAAAAATTTTTTTTTAATATAATGTTTAATACTTTAGAAATAAAAATTATAAAAATTTAAATCATACTATATACAATATGTTTGTATTTTTTAATTAATACAAAATTATTTAATTAAAAAATTTTTTTCTCTTTAAATAAATTATTAATAAAAAGTTATGAATTTAAACATCGATGTTTTTTTTAACAAATTATAAATTTCTATAATACATTTTAACTATTAAGAAACATAATTCTTAAACGTGCAAATGTGATTAAATATTAATTAAACTATAATCTAATTCAAAAATAATTTATTTACTTGGTAATAAAATACGATTGTATAAAAAACAAATAATATAAATAAAATAACATTTAATTTTTGAGATTTTATAAATGAATCACGTTCACAAACGCGGATTATATTGGTTTATAGAATGAAGGTCGAAGTCTAGTAAATGCGGCGCCAAAAAGTAGTCCTGAGCTAAAGTAAAGCTCCTATATATTTAAAATCCTGTCGAACAGAGATATTGATTCCTTTTACTTTTTAATCGGCCGTAAAATTGTGATGTTTATTTTATCCACATTTACCCTAAAATACTATCAAACATTTACACAAAATAATAAATGATCTAAAAGTAAATTTAAACAATAATCGCTGCCAAATGTTGGAATATAACTTTAAGGTATCAATGGGGTACTTTCTTCGCGAGAACCAAAGTAATACCTCTTGACAAATGGAACAAGAATATAAATATTTGAGATGATGGCAAAGACAAAAGCAGTCCAACGTATCCATGGATCAAGTTGTTCGGCCGCAATACCATACAGCGACCAAGTGATCACGATGGCTCCGGTAACATCACCCTTTAATTTTTCGATGTAAGTAATAGAAATTGTTTCGAGAAAAAATAATGCTAAGACGGCAAGAGTTCTTGTAAGAAGATTTGGTTCTTCGTCGGGACTTTTCTTGTCGGGAAGGAAAGTAACAAAGGTTGAAATTACAATCAGTACAAGGATCCAAGCATGATATAGGGAAAACGGAGCATGAATCCAGATTGTGTCATTAAGGTTCTGTGATGGATACTTATATTTGATTGTATAATAAACATAGGAAATCTGGGCAGAAGTGAATAGGATAAAAATCCACGCAAAGAAGAGATATCCAGTTTGCCATAGGAAAAGCCAGAAAGTATTCCATACAGCAATCCCAAGAAAGTGCCAGGAAATGCCATCAACGACAGCTTCAGTAGCTGAACTGAAGAATTGATAAATAACTAAACATATTGATTGTTAATGAGCAAGTAACACTATTGAAACCAATGATATTAGGAAAGTATATTACCAAATCCCCCTAATAAAAAGTGGATGATACCCCAAATGGCGAAAGCAAAGGGTGCTGGGGTAATAAAAGATTGATGGCGTTCATGGTACGGAGAATCATCCTACAATAGATTGGATTAGAATTCAATAGAAATTCCGAGATTTAAGTCAGAAGGCACTTTCTAATTTCAAAATTCTACTCAATGTAAAACTTTTCCATTGATTACTGTGATGCAGCGATAACATACTTTGCCTTCACCAAAACCGGAATAAACGTTAGCACCCAAGAGAAATATGTAAGCCAATAAATTAACAATCTTTACAATTGTTGCCATTTCGTAAACGGATTCTTATAAATATATATACAGGCGGAAAAGAAATAAAAAATTAGAAGTTATTTTTGTTATCAATTTACACAATGCTTTTAATGCATGTATAATCGATGATCCAAGAAAAGTAATTTGCCAACCCATGATAAAGTTGTGTACGTCTGTACGTATATGTACTGTACATCGTCTCTGTCACTTATAGTACAATTTATGTTGGCTGTTTTGAAACACAAATACTTATGGGCGTAATATAATAAGCAAAGATAGTTATCTTACGTTTTTAGAAAAAATATCAATTCATATATAAATTACGCCTTCAAGCATTTACCGTAGGTATTACAAAGATTATACTTATTATCAATTATATAACTTAATATCAATTTTGTTAAATTTTAAATTTACAACTAATACTATTAATAAAATATTCAAATTTTTAATTTTTAAACAATATTTTTTGATACTCATAGTTTTTTAAGAATTAATTTTAATTCACTTACTATGCTTTTATTACAAACTTTAACTTATCAATTTTTAAATCCTTAATTATACAATAAAATTCATATATATTATATTTTAATACTGATCATTTTAAAAAAAAAAACTCTTTCCGCTGATCCCCAGTTTTCTTAAAAAATTTCCTTTTTTGGTAATTTTATTGAAAAACAAGAG